AGCGAAGAGCCTGTGGTCTCGAGGCAAAGGAGTAAGCTGTGCGGAGGAGAACTGAAGGCCGAACCTCTGAAGGACCTGGCGCACCAAGTGTGACTGAGTCAAAGTGATGGTGCGGGCTGCTCTGTCCCTGGAGATCTGCTAGCCAAGGTAGTGGCGCAGTTCTCCAAGGTCAGTGCAAGTGTGTCTCTTTAGCAGCTTTGCCTTCACGGAGGCCAGTGCGTCCCTGTCTGCCGTGGCGAAACCAGGTCGTCTACGTAAACAAGGATGTAGAACGGAGTTTGGCCAGCACGAACGAAGAGCGAGGGGTCTGCAGAGGACGGAAAGAACTGCAGGTCAGCAAGCGTAGCACGCAGCGTGTCGTGCCACTCACGGGGAGCCTGCCGCAGGCCGTAGACGGGGCGCCGGAGGAGCCACTGGGTCCCAGGAGGGAAGGTACCAATGAAGCCCTGAGGGCGACGCAGGTAGACCTGCTCGTGTAGGCTGCCCTAAAGAAACGCAGTGGAGAAGTCGAGGGAGTGAAGCTCGTAGTCACGCTGCGCTGCTACGTGTAGTAGCACCCGAAGAGTAGTCATCTTCGGGGTCGGAGCGAAGGTCTGGAAGAAGTCCAACCCTCACGCTGACTGAAACCTCTAGCCACGTAGCGCGCCTTGAACACAGGCGGCTCTCCAGGAGGGCGCTTCACCTTGAAGAGCCAGCGGCCATCAACTAAGTTCACCCCAGATGGGGGAACTGCGTCGACATAGGTGCCGGTGGATCTCCAAGATGCCATCTCCTGCTCCATGGCACCTATCCACTGAGAGGCCCAGGGTTCCGAGACCGCCTCAGCGTAAGTGCGAGGGGTCGGGATGTCGAAAGCGTCGGGGTCACCCTCAAGGACTAGAAGCATGGAACAGAGATGGGGAGCAGCCTCGGACAGGAAAGCAAGCTCGTACTGGCGGTCCTCCAGGACGTCACTGCCAAGGGCAGGAGCACCCCCGACAGGCGAAGGACAGGCAGGGTCAGAGACCAGAGCGGTGGCGTAGTCAAGGCGGCGGGTAGAGGCGAAGTCAGCGACCGCAGCGACAAGGGTGTCAAGGCTCGAAACCGGAAAAGACGGGTCGGTAACGAGAGAGGCAAGGACCCGAGGAACAAGAGGATGAGCGGCACGCAGGTAGTCAAACATAGGGGGGGGAGCAACGACAAGGGAGGACGTAGGGGGCGACGGGAGAAGGGGAGGACGAGACGCGTGGGAACGAAGCAACATAGGGTGAGAGCGCGAGACAGGGGAGACAGGTCGAGCACGGGAGGGACGGCGAGACCAGACGTGAGATGGGGGAGTCGGGTCAGTAGACAGAGGAGGGGACACAGGAGGGGAACGAGGCAGGAAACAGGCCGGAGACGCGTCCGGAGGAGGGAACACAGGGCCGGAGACAGGAGGAGGAGGAGGAGGCACGGGCACGGGGTCAGGGGACGGAAGGGCGAGCAGGCGAAGAGCGGACACCGGCGGGGACTGCTGTGACGGCGGTGTGACGCCGACACCGGGACCGCAAGCTGCCGGGCGGCTACCTCTACAACACTCCACACCAGCACCCCCAGAAGAAACACCCCCAGAGCTCAGAACCCCTCGAGCACCGGTACCACCCCCATGCCCGCCATGACAAGCCACGACAAGAGTCCCAGGACTAGTACCCACCCCAACTCCAGCACCCCAAGAGGCAACCAACTGCTGCGGCGACGGCTGCGGCGACGGCGGCGGCGGTGACGACGGCTGCGACAGCGGTGGCGACTGCGGCTGCGGAGGCGGCAGAGGAGGGGACACCTGAGAAGGGGCAGGCGGCGAGGAATATGCTGCAGGACTACCAGAGTCAGTAGACTCCTCAACCGGTACAACCGACGTAAGTTGGGTGACGTGGGACACACCGGAGGGAGCAGGACGGGGAGGGGGAGGGGGAGGGGCGGCGACGACCGGGGAAGGGGTGACCAGGAACAGGGGGGGGTAACCAGGGGACCTCGGTGGGGGAAGCGGCGGAAGAAGGAGACGGACTCGTCAAAGGTGACGTCACGGGAGTGAAAGAACCTGTGAGACGGCGGGTGGTAGAAGTGCCAGTCAGACGCGTCAAGGGGGAAGCCGAGGAAGACACAGGGAATGGTGCGGGCAGTGAGCTTGTCCTTGCCAGAGGCGCAAGACAGGGAGACCGCAACGGACACGCGCGGCGACAAGCCACGGGATAAGAACGTCAGGCACGTCGGCCTTCCGCTCTAGGGGGAACACAGTGGTGTAGCGCGTGTAGTCGTCGACAAGCACTAGGAAGTAGCGCTCTCGACGATGCCCATGGACGGGGGCGGGGTCCCAGACGTCCATGTGCAGAGTCTGTAGCGCTGCGGCGGTAGGGGGAAACGAGGAGGAGTGAGGAGCACGGCGAAGCCGGCCCTCAATACAAGGCATGCAAGGTGGGGCAGGGGAGGAGGGAAACTCAAAGAACGACCCAGGGAGGCCTAGGACGAGACTGTGCTGTGACATGTGACGCAGACGCGGGAGCGCAGGGTGACCTAGACGGTGGTGCCACAGGAGAGTCGGGTGGGTGAGTGACCGACAGACGGCAGCGGCGGCAGCTAGGGGCGGCCACGACGGCGAGGGGCGGCCGAGGGACGGCAGGAGGCGGCCGCGACGGCGGCTAGAAGCAGCCACGACGGCTAGGGGCGGTCTCAAACGGCCAGGGGTCCTGCGAGGAGCGGGCGCGAAACGGCCAGGGCGCCGGCCAGGAGGGGCTCAACGGCCAGGGGGGCGGCTAGGGACGAGCGCGAATGGCCAGGGGGCTGGCTAGGGACGGGCGCGAACGGCCAGGGGGCCGGCTAGGGGCGAGCGCGACGGTCTGGGGGTCCGGCTAGGAGCGATCGCGACGGCCAGGGGGCCGGCTAGGGGCGAGCGTGACGGTCAGGGGCCGGCTAGGAGTGATCGCGACGGGCAGGGGGGCGGCTAGAGAGCGGGTGCGACGACCAGGGGGCCAGCTAGAGACGGGCGCGGCGGCTAGGGGGCCAGCAAAGGGCGAGCGCGACAGCCAGGGGGTCAGCTAGGGGCGGGCGCGAACGGTCAGGGGTCGGCTAGGGACGGGCGCGACGGTCAGGGGGCCGGCTAGGAGCGATCGTGACGATTAGGGGGCCGGCTAGGAGCGGGCGCGATGGCCAGGGAGTCAGCTAGAGACGGGCGCGACGGGCAGGGGGCCGGCTAGGGACGAGCGCGACGGCCAGGGGCCGACTAGGGACAGGCGCGAACGATCAGGGGGGCGGCTAGGGACGAGCGCGAACGGCCAGGGGGCCGGCTAGGGACGGGCGCGAACGGCTAGGGGGGCCGGCTAGGGACGAGCACGACGGCCAGGGGGCCGGCTAGGAACGTAGGGGCGGAAGCGTGAGCGGGCTAGGGGGGGATCTAACCTACTATGATACCATATCAGAAAGAAAATAAAATGAACTAGAATGTGTGTGTACAAGGATATATAGACTAGGGTGTTGTACCCTCTAAGGCACAATCCAGTATAGTCTATAATAATAGCCTAACTTACATTTGACAAATAGGACTAAGCCGATTTTTATTTTTTTTGCTGTCACTGCCTATCAAGACTTGACACAATCAGGGTCGAATTCAAGACCGGTCGAGAATTTCCTGGAATTGGAATTCCCACCAAACACTTCCAATCGCCTTTTGTTATGGCCTCAACTTTTGCCTCCGCCCAAACTCCCCGCCCTCCCAATTCCCTCACCCAAATCTCGCCCCACACCTCTCAAAGCCCGGTACATTCGAGAACTGCCTTGCTGGAAGCCGACTCTGCTCTGGTTTTACAAGGGTTTTTCCAGATGGGCCCAAATCGTCTTAGCTAGCAAAAAAACTAGCTCAGGTCGCGCAAATCTGAGCCGTTAATGAGTGACCAATGATGAACAGCTGAGAAACGTCGAAACGATCGCGTTCGACCATGACCGTCAAAGTTTGGTGGATTTTTTTTTTGGAAACTAGGGGCATGTGGGAAATTACGAAATGAACCAATGCTGCTAGAAAACAACATTTTGGCTAAACGGAGAGGGGAAGCGAAACCGAGGGGGCACGAGGATCAAAACGGAGGTGAGGGGGGGATCGATATCGAGGGGGATGTCTGCGAGAGCGTGGGAGGGGGAATGTCTGCGTGTACACGAGGACTTAGACAATTTTTTGTTGAGGAGAGTGCTACTCTGGCTACTATGACTTAGCTGACTATTTGTGGGTTGTTGCGGGTGTAGGGGGAATGTCTACCATAGGACTTAGCCGATATTTGTCGATTATTGTGGGGCGTGTAGGGGGAATGTATGTACAATTAGGACTTGGCCAATTTTTGTAGGTTGCTGTGTTTGGGGGGGTAATGTTTCTAAAGATTGGGGACATCGCCGAAATTTCAGGGCTGTGAGGCACATGAATATCGCACGCAGGGTTCGTACGCGTTGCTCCATGAAAACTCAGTATTGGCATAACGCAATCCCTGATATCCCAAGTGTTCATAAACTTACAACTGTGAAGGGGCTAGGGTTAAGAAAAGTCCAACCCTGAAAATTAAGGGTTGGCCAAAAAAATACCCAGTGAAATCAGGAAATCAGAGTAAAATACAATGATAATGACAGGCTTGCTAGGAACGGTAGAAAGCCATAGAAATGGCGAGAGGTTTTAGGCTAGGAAAGTTGAGAGAAAAGTGGCCGAGAATAGAAGAGAGTGATAAAAGGAGGGGGGCTGTACCTGTTAAAATTATATAAGTTATATATCATTGATAGGCTTGGTAGTTGTTACTGAACCTTACTGTAGAGGGTATAATCCCCTCCTTGTACCCCTCTCTCTTCCTAATCGATTCTCTTCTCTCTCGTCAATCTTCCTAGCTAAACCTCGGCCGCCATTTCATGGCGGCCCTCTCCTTTCTTGCTAGATCACTTCATAACAGTACCCTCTACAGTAGGTTTCAGTAACACCTACCAAGCCTACCAATTATATAACAAAATATATAATTTAACACTGTATACATACCTACCAGGATTTCCCTACAAGAGAGAGTCGACTAGTCAACATGTCCAGACTCCAGATTGAGTTGATATACGGAAAACCAGGCAACACATAACAGATATATCCTGAACATCCTAATACCAAGGGCTGGATTTCCGCCTGAGTGCACAGATGTTCCTCATGCAGTGTACTGCGCCCACCAAATCCTCCACGGGAGTTGCATAGAAGTCCTTATGACCAAATTTCCTCATGTGATCCTGCTTCTCGACGAAGTCTTGGTTCACCACATCCATAAGCGTCTTGAGAACGTGTATTGTTGTAGTGTTCAGTCCGGGAGGACCTCCCTCGTAGCACCCTGTAATGTGGCATTTAGTGTAGTAGGACGTCTCCAGATCCTCCAGAAAATATATTCCGCCCGGCTGGAAAAACATTGGAGTGGGATCAGGAGTGAGGGTAGGAATGAGGGAAAAAAAATCTTAGTAATACACTATTAAAAGTAAATCCAGCGGAGACACGCCGAAGGGGGGCAGAAGGGAGGACGAGAAGCGGAGTACGAGAGGGGTCGCAGGTAGAGGCAAGGCAAGAAAAAGAGAGCAGATGACAAGGGAAAGAGGCAAGGGAAACGGAGAGGAGTAGAGGGAGAACAGGGAGTCAGAGCCAAACAAGAAGCGGGATCAGATGCGGGAAACCACCTTGAGCAAGTGCAACAGAGCAAGTACCCTGACCAGTGGCAGAAGGTACCTTGACCAGTGGCAGGAGGTATTGGAGGGATGTTTGCTGCTGCGGCATGGTGTGACCTCCATCGTCCACTATGAAGTCAAGCAGACCCACCTGAAATGCGTCACAACACAGTAACGAGATGAGATGTTATTTATTTTATTTTCTTAAAAAAAGAAAAACATTTGCATTTCTTTCATTGAGTCAAGCAGACCCACAAGGAGAAGTCCATGGACCAAGTTTCACACGAAAGAGTAAAAAATCAAACGAGCGTTTTGATTAGAAGCATACAAGCTCAAGCCAAAAGTGGGAAGGAAGGAGTACCTTGGAAGCATGCCATATTCCAAGCCATGTATCCTCATGGCACTCTACCTCGGATGCTGCTCATTCCAACGCCATTCCCCCAACATATTGGCATGAATTCCACTTCCCTGAGATCATCCCACAGATACACCGTCCCATTTCAACCCATCCCCAGCTTAACCCCAAATCCCGCACCATGTGGCACCACACCTCACCACACCAGGCCTCACCGCACTCTTTATCTCTGCCACCACTTGCTCCAAGAACGTCCCATTGGCCTGGTCGCCCACCATCAGCCGCACCCGAGGGTCCCGCGCCTCGGCCTGGTGCTTCTGTTTTAGGGGAAAACAAGGGGAGGGAATATGTGTGGGCTAAGGCAGAGGCAGACAGCAGCACCTGAGGGCCCCGGGCCTCGGCCTGGTGCTTCTGTGAAAGGGAAGGGATAGAGAGCGAGTGAGGGAGAGGGCACGAGAGAGAGGACATGAGAGGGAGAGAGCGTGAGAGGGGGAGGGCGCGAGAGGGAGAGGGCGTGCGAGGGGGAGGGTGTGAGAGGGGGAGGGCGTTAGAGGGGGAGGGCGTGAGAGAGGGAGGGCGTGAGAATGGGAGGGCGTGAGAGGGAGAGGGCGTGATAAGAAGTGCGAATGAAGAGTTCAATTCAAATGCGAATGCTAGGCTCGAGATTGTCATACAGAGACGGTTTGTTGCAACAAGAGTTGAAACCGCGGTTACCAGCAGGTCCGTAACCAGGAGTTGCAGGGTTACATGATTTAACATGTAGTTACATGGAGGATCAGGAGGGTCAGGAGGATCAGGATCGTCACGATGTCAGGAGTGTCAGGGGTGTCAGGGGTGTCAGGGGTGTCAGGGGTGTCAGGGGGATCAGGAGTATCAGGGGTATCAGGGGTATCCGGGGGATCAGGAGGGTCAGGGCCGATCCCTCCGGGATCGTAGATCCAACGCGGCTGGACGGGGCTAGGTAGGGTGCAAGGAATTTCAGTGGGTGCAAGGCATTTCAGTGGGCGCTAGGCAATTCAGTGGGTGCTAGGCAATTCACTGGGCGCAACGTACGCAACGCAATTCAGTGGGCGCAACCAAAATCATGCCCCCCGAGCGTCCTAGTAATCTCTTATCCGTGCCCTTTTTTTGCGGTGTTCCAGCTGTTCCGGCGGTCAGTTTCGTCGCGGCAATGCCTGATCTGTCCGAAAAATCGTACGTTCCCCGCGACTGTTCTTGAAAACTACTCCTTGCGACCGTTACTGGATCTGCTCGACGCCGATCCCACAGATCAATCCGAATCAGCCAGATCAACCCTGCCGCCTACCCTCGCTGCTCGAACTCCCCTGCTCCTCAATCTCCTCCTCCTCCCGTTGCGATGACTGCTAACTAATGCTTTCACCAAAATGACACGAAATCCGAATCAACCAGATCAACCCTGCCGCCTACAGTGGAGATCATTTCGTTGTCGATGCCGTAGATGACGCCTCGCGGAAACGCCCTCTTCCATAGCTTCAGCGAGTCGCCGTACTTGAGCCCGATCTCCAACATGTTCACCTCGCGCGGCTCCCACGGCTGCTGCTCGAATCCCCGCTGCTCAAACCCTTGCTGCTCGAATCCCCTCTGGTCCTCATTTTGCCGCAGTTTCCGCGCGTATTCAACGGGCGCCGGATCGCTTGTCTCCTCCTCCGCCCCTTGCGGCGATTGCTGGCAAGGGAGGGTTTGGGACTGCTGTCGCGGCAGGCGCAGCGGGTCGAGATAGAGGCTGTAGAACGCGCCGTAGTGGTGTGTGCGCTTATCGGATGAGCCTTGGTTGACAATTTCTTCAAACGAGACGAAGCCCTGAACGGAGAATACCAACGCGGAGACGCAACGGGGCAATGCAGGTGTATTTGGAGTCGACTTTAAATACACCCCGATGCGCCTTGGTTGACGATCTCTTCAAACGAGACGAAGCCCTGAACGGAGTTCCATTGGCAATGCGAAGGAGAAGCAAACGGGGGAAATGCAAGGCGTTACTGTTACTGAACGAGCGGAAGAACTTGAAGATAAATTTGTACGCGATATTGGAAGCAACTGACTCGATCTCAAGTCGGATCTTGAAGTGAACGACCGTGAGTCACGGCCAAGGCCGGTTTCTTAAACATTAGCGACGCGGCTTCGCTCACGAACGATACAAGAAAAGGCTCTTCCATGTAAATTACCCATGATGTGTCGTGGCAGCTCTGGATGAGGTCATACGCGATATAAGCCCATGGGAGGAGGTACACGAGGGACAAGAAACCTCCTCGCGGCAGAGCAAGTTTCCAGGCGCCTACAGCCTTCCCCATCCTCCCAGCCTACTACTACTACTAAAATCACGATTTCTTGCACACACAAGACAAGCCAAGTCGAAGACACCACCGACACACTAAAACACAGCTGTTCTGCAGTACGTGTTCTACTCCTGACTCGGGAAACAGCGATTCTCTAGAACAGTGCTCGAATTTGGTTTGGGACCATTTTCATCTCATGAGAAAAATGAGAGGGTAGAGGGAGCCAGTTCGGAACCAGAATGTGGCTACAGAACAGAATACAGTAGATTTGCGCGATTTTCAGGTCGGTTAAGTTCGGTCTGGGCACCATGCCATGTGCTTTGCGGGCCGCCAAAATCTCGCGCGTGGCAGGCAGTTGCCGAATGCCCGGACATCAGCCCCAGTTGGCCGCAACATCCAGGCTGGACTATTTTGGAGTTCTCCAGGTCGGAAGAGGCCCAGATTGGGCGGGCCCGCCTCTGTCACGACGTGGGGACTCGGGAGTACCCTTGGAGAAGGAATTCTCGAAACTGGTGGGGTGTAAGGAAATCCCCTTTTCCTTTCTGGGCTCGACTACAGCACGTACAACCTCGACTCTTGGAAGTCTAGGCTCGGCCAAATTTCTTCGATCCCGAACCACTTCACGAGCCCAAACCTAGACGCGCGGCACTTTCATAGCTTTCTCCAACCAAACCGCCCCAACCTGTTCGCATGGTTCTCGGATAGCTCTGTTCGTGCCTATAAATACCTAGGCCCTCATTGGTATTGACACTCTTGAATCAAGACTCCATGACTCCACTACAGGGCTTCTGCTAGGTTCCTCCGCCGCTCGGACATTCAGGGCGCCCCTCGAAGCTTACCCTGAAAAAAAACGGCACGGCCAAATCGTGCCCTTACGAAAAGGGCTCGCACCAGATCCCCTCGGCCAAAACCGAGCTGCCTTTAATAACGCTCTTTTATCTGTCTAGTTACGTTACATTACATATCGCATATATGAATTGTCCATAAAATTCAAGTTATTAATGCATGCAATGTCTAAAAAAAGTTGAGGTACGCTAGCCAAGAACTCATATCACACCAACCTTACTCGCGTCACAGACGGAAACAGCGAGCGAGATTTGAGGGGCCAACTGACTGGAGGAGGGGCGAGATTACTGGAGGAGCTGAAATGGCTGGTGGACGAGCGAGATGAGGTGCGCGAGCTGACTAGATTGGCAGGGCAGCACACGTGAGGTGAAGAGGAAGTTCTCTCTCACGGGGGGGGGGGGGGGAGGGGGTGGGGTATCAAACAGTGAAATTGATGAATAGAGAGAGAGAGTACACAAACATATACCTAACTGTTGTACTCTCTAGAAGATGACCCTATACAGTCTATACAAGCATGATAACTAAACATGTTTGACACACCCCCTGGACTGCATAGGGGAATGTTCTAGACAAGCAGCTCAGGGTGGCACTACTAGTCCAGCCTCTGAGACAAGGGTCTAAAAGACCAGTCAGAAGGAGTACAGGCAAGGCAAGAACTAGTACAGGGCGGCACTACTAGTCCAACCACTGTAAGAGGACACAAGTCCAGTCTGAGTGTACACACAGATATATAGGACAGTACAAAGTCAAGGCTCGAGTAAGTGAGAGACTACAGGAACCAGACCAAGCTGTACACAGTGCCGCTGATGATCTTTAGGCGCAAGCGCCTTCGTAAAGATATCAGCTGTGTTGGCACCGGAGGCTAAGTGTACTACGCGAGCCTGGCGACGCTGCTGTAGCTCACGCAGGAGGAAGTACCGCAGCTGGATGTGCTTCGCTCTGCCCTCGAGTCGAGGCTCCTGACACAGGAGGATCATGGCCCTGTTGTCAGCGTACAGGACCGGGGCAGAGCTAGGCCGCTCACCTAAGTCAGTGAGCAAGAAGGTCAGCCAGCGGAGCTCCTGTGCCGCCATGGCACCGGCGTAGATCTCGGCCTCACAGCTGGACTGGGCAACAGACGAAGAGCGGGTAGCTCTCCACGAGACAGCACCCGAACCAAGGCTAAAGCAGTAGCCCTGGGAAGACCTGAGCGTCTCGGCGTCGTCTGCCCAAGAAGCGTCTGTGTGTCCAGTAAGGACCACTGGCCTGCGTCCGCCTAGCACTAACCCCATGCCCGATGTACTTGCAAGATAACGCAAAACCCTCTTAGCGGCAGACCAGTGCTGAGGTCGGTGCCTGCCTGTGGCCACGAAACGAGCCAGGATGCTGAGAGGGTATGCGAGATCTGGGCGAGTGCAAGTCATCAGGTACATGAGGCAACCCACTAGCTCAGCGTAAGGACCACTGGGATCTACCGACTCCTCAGGAACTGGAGCGGAGAGTCTGTGGTCCAGAGGAAGAGGGGTGGGCTGTGCGGAGGAGAACTGAAGGCCGAACCTCTGAAGGACCTGGCGCACCAAGTGTGACTGAGTCAGGGTGATGGTGCGCGCGGCTCTGTCCCTGGAGATCTGCAAGCCAAGGTAACGGCGCAGCTCTCCAAGGTCAGTGCAGGTGTGTCTCTTCAGTAGCTCTGCCTTCACAGAGGCCAGTGCGTCCCTGTCAGCAGTGGCAAAGACCAGGTCGTCTACGTAGACGAGGATGTAGAACGGAGTCGAGCCAGCACGAACGAAGAGCGAGGGGTCTGCAGAGGACGGAAAGAACTGCAGGTCAGCAAGGGTAGCACGCAAAGTGTCGTGCCACTCACGAGGCGCCTGGCGCAGGCCGTAGACTGGGCGCCGCAGAAGCCACTGGGTCCCAGGGGGGAAGGTGCCAGTAAAGCCCTGAGGGCGACGCAGGTAGACCTGCTCGTGAAGGCTGCCCTGAAGAAAGGCAGTGGAGAAGTCGAGGGAGTGAAGCTCGTAGTCACGCTGAGCCGCTACGTGTAGCAGAACCCGAAGAGTAGTCATCTTCGGGGTAGGAGCGAAAGTCTGAAAGAAGTCCACCCCCTCGCGCTGACTGAAGCCTCTAGCCACGTAGCGCGCCTTGAACACAGGCGGCTCTCCAGGAGGGCGCTTCACCTTGAAGAGCCAACGGCCATCGACCACGTTCACCCCAGGTGGGGAACTGCGTCGACGAAGGTGCCGGTGGATCTCCAAGATGCCATCTCCTGCTCCATGGCAGCTATCCACTGAGAGGCCCAGGGTCCCGAAACCGCCTCAGCGTAAGTACGAGGGGTCGGGATGTCGAAGGCGTCAGGGTCACCCTCAGGGACTAGCAGCATGGAACAGAGATGGGGAGCATCCTCGGACAGGAAAGCAAGCTCAAACTGGCGGTCCTCCAGGACGTCACTGCCGAGGGCAGGAGCACCCCCGACAGACGGAGGACAGGCAGGGTGAGAGACCAGAGCGGTGGCGTAGTCAAGGCGGCGGGTAGAGGCGAAGTCAGCGACCGCAGCGACGAGGGCGTCAAGACTCGACACTGGAACAGACGGGTCGGTAACGAGAGAGGCAAGGACCCGAGGAACAAGAGGACGAGCGGCACGAAAGGAGTCGGACAGAGGAGGAGACGCAACGACAAGAGAAGACGGAGGAGGAGACGGGAGGAGGGGAGGACGAGACGCGTGGGAACGGAGCAACATAGGGTGAGAGCGCGGGACAGGGGAGACAGGACGAGCACGAGAGGGGCGGCGAGACCAGACGTGTGAGGGCGGCGTCGGGTCAGGAGACAGAGGAGGGGACACAGGAGGGGAACGAGGGGGAAGACGAGCCGGGGACGAGTCTGGCAGAGGGAACACGGGGTCGTAGACGGGAAGAGGGGGAGACGGCAGGCCGAGCAGACGGAGGGCGGACACAGGCGGGGACTGCTGCTGCGGTGACACAACACCAACACCAGGGCCACAAGCTGCGCGACGGCTACCTCCCGAACCCTCCACACCTGCACCCCCAGAAGGGACACCCCCAGAGCCCGAAACCCCGCCAGCACCGGTACCACCCCCAGGTCCGCCGGGACAAGCCACGACAGGAGCCCCGGGACTAGTACGCACCTCAACGCCAGCACCCCCAGAGTCCACAAACGGCTGCAGCGACGACAGCGGCGGCGGCGGCGGCGGCTGCAGCGACGGCTGCGACGGCGGCGGCGACGGAGACGACGGCTGCGACGGCGGCGGCGGTGGAGACGACGGCTGCAGCAGCTGCGGCGACGGCGGCTGCGGAGGCGGTGGAGGAGGAGACACCGGGGGAGGGACAGACGGCGAGGACTGCGCCGGAGGACTACCAGAGGCAGAAGACTCGTCGACCGGGACGGCCGACGGGAGGGGGGTGACGTGAGACACACCAGAGGGGGCCGGACGGGGGGGCGGGGGGGGGGAGGGGCAGGGACCACCAGGGAGGGAGGAACCAGGAACAGGGGGGGAGTAACCGGGGGACCACGGTGGGGAAAGCGGCGGTAGAAGGAGACGGACTCGTCAAAGGTGACGTCGCGAGAGTGAAAGAAGCGGTGAGACGGCGGGTGGTAGAAGTGCCAGTCGGACGCGTCAAGGGGGAAACCGAGGAAGACGCAGGGGAGGGTGCGGGCAGTGAGCTTGTCCGTGCCAGAGGCACGAACGTGAGCAAGGCAGCCCCAGACGCGGAACGCAGACGCGTCACCAGGGGACCCGGTCCACAGAAGGGTCGGCGAAACCTGCGGCCGCTGGGGGTGCGGCCACAGGTTAAGCTGGTGAGCGGCGTAGCGCACGGCGAACGGCCACAGAAAATGGGGTGCACCGGCGTGGATCATGGAGGTGCGAGCCACCTCCATGACCAAACCGATGCGTCGCTCAGCGACCCCATTCTGCTGCGGGGAGTCCGGCAGGGTAAACGTCTGGGTGATGCCCTCCGCACGACAGAAGCGACCAAGGACACCTGAGGCAAACTCGCCACCCCGGTCGGAGTGGAGGCGCAAGGCAGGGAGACCGCGGTGGACACGAGCAGAGACAAGCCAGGGGATGAGAACGTCAGGCACGTCGGCCTTCCGCTCCAGGGGGAAGACGGTGGTGTAGCGCGTGAAGTCGTCGACAAGCACTAGGAAGAAGCGCTCGCGACGCGGCCCATGGACCGGGGCTGGGCCCCAGACGTCCATGTGCAGAGTCTGCAGGGGTGCGGTGGTAGGGGGAAAAGAGGAGGAGTGAGGGGCACGGCGGAGCCGGCCCTCGACACAAGGCGTGCACGGTGGGGCGGGGGAGGAGGGAAACTCGGGGAACGA